TCCATATTTGGACAGGTCACAATAATTCCTCACGTGAGGATGAGCTCCCACTTTTTGCAGAGCTGGGAGCAGTGCCAGCCAAATGAGCAGGAGGGGCAGAAGGGACTCCCAGTGCCTGGAGCAACTTCACATGTGCCATGGGATGCTGAGGAGCACAATGGGACCTGCAGGTCCCCAGTGGGGGTCGCTTTCATGTACCCACTTTGTCATTCCCAGCAGCCCAAGGAGACATCATCAGTCTCACCCCCAGTTTTAATTTTCAGTTTGCTGCTGGAAAACCTCAAAATTTCAGGGCAGGAAGTTCTCCCTTATGTTTCTACAGTGACAGTTTCTACAGCCTAGAGAGCAGCAGAACAGTGTGTGCAAAACAAAGAAAAACAACTTCATCTACACTACAGTTACTAAAAATTAAATGTCAAGCAGGACAAGAAAAACTGATGTGGTAACATACAGAGGACAGGATCCGTGAGAGGCTGAGTAATGAAAAGGTCAGGAGGGCCATAAATAAAGCTGGAAGCAGCCAAGATGTGGCGAGGGAGAGAACTCATCTGAGGGGTACAAGTGCCCAGGCAGTTTAATGAATATGTTTTATATAAATGGAACGATTACCATTCCAGGAACAGGAACTGCCCTTACTCTGAACACGACAGGCACCCTGTATCAACCATCAGAACAAGGCACAAGCTGAACACGTTGCTTGTTGGGGCTGCACAGAGCAGGGACGCAGCTCGGGAGTCATCCAATGTTGTGTCTCTGAAGTTTTTCCTGGTTCTTGTCTCCATCAGTGACCAGGACAATCAGACTGACATCACGAGCATGACCTACCCGTTGCTATTTGATGCCCTGTGACAGTATCCCAAATCTCACATCAGAATCAGCTGTAGCTCCTGCTTCAATTAAATTGCAGCCATCAAGCCCTAGTTTGGAAAATCAGGCAGCTTGAAATTCAGGACATGTTCATGGGTCTTCCTGATCCACATCCTACACAGATATGACAAACAAAGCGCCACGTGTAAGCACTGCCTCACACTGATTTGTACAGGAGGTCAGGGGAAGCCAGGATAAAACACAAGTTCTCTGAGTCACAGCCCATTGCCTTAGCCATCAATTATGCTGCATTCTTTGATATTGTATATAATGAAGCACAGCACTTTGTTCGAGGCTAGCTGTTCATTTATACCAGCTAGGATCAGTTATTTGTTCGGTTCATTATTATGATGGGCTATCATGTGTGCTGCAGGAATCACTGCAGGACTCAGCCCTGCTGGCTGCTCTGCAGACACAACAGCAGCAGTCCTGCACTCCGCAGCTCACGGCCTCACTGCAAGGAGCCTGAAAGCAGATGGGCAGAAAAAAACAGGCAGGGGAAGCAAAATGCAGAGAGGCAACTATGATTCAATAAAACCTGACATCATGGAATAAATGTGATAAAAACTTCTCATCTGTGTTATTGAAGGGTCCTCGGAGCTGCAGTCCCACTCCCTTGTCCTTATCTGAGTGATGTTTCAGCCATGTGGTCTGTCTCTACTCAGCCTGGCAGCAAAGAGAAGCCTCATCCCAGCACAGACAAACCCCTCCTGGCCTTCCTTCAAGGGTCGGTTGGGCAGTGGCTCTCACTGCCTGCACCTGGCATCTGTTTCTTCTCTTTCTATTCTGGGAGGAAGAGAAACAGCTGAGCTCTGCTACCGAATGCGAGGGAGGCAGATGGGGCGTGAATTCGGTAGTGATTGTACTGCTCATTTGTTTGGCATGAAACTGATGGACACATGATAGAACAACACGGAACAAACGTGGGGGGTAGGAATACTGAATAGCTTTTACCATCATTACTTTTCCCATTACTGTGAGTTGTTTTTTTGTTTTTTTTTTTCTCATTCAGTGATAAATCTGCGTGAATATGGAGGGCTACAGCTGCCATCCTAATTCTCATGAGGTTTCTCATCTGATGGGCTTTCCTATTTCTAGGATTTCCTATGGTGCATCTCTTTCCCTTTCGAGCAATGGGAATAGTCAGTGTAACTGCTTAGCAAGCTGCACACACTCCTTTGCAGGCACTGCTGAGTGTTTGGGTAACAGGTAAGGGGGGAGGCATTTGCTATGGGATAGAACCACGAATTCATAGTATTTTTTAGTAACCTTTGGCTTTATCTGCATTTAGTTAACTGAGCTGTAAATCCATACAGGATCGGAGGACCAAAGTAGAATTTAAAAAGAATATACTTGAATATTAGATTTTTGTGACATGACCCCCAACACCTTCATCAACCAGGACCATCTGTTTGGTGCTTTCTCAGGGCTTTACTTTTTAGCAAGAGTAATTCCAACAGCATATGCTGTTCAACAGTAGCCACCTCTGTATGCATCTGCCTGCACACAGTAACACCTGGATGTGCAGCCCTCCTCTCCAAAGCCAACGGTCCTTCAGAGCTGAACGCTGCTCTGTTATATGCTGTCATCACAAAAGGACCCACCAGGCTCCACCGGAGTGTTTTCCCATTTCCCTGGCATAAATGAGATTGAAACTTGCCCTTGACTTCTTCCTGTAACAAAGTGCCACCAGACAGATGCTCCTGCTTCCCACTCCTCACACCTACCTAAGTGACCAGCTATCCCTGGGCTGAACAGTGCCAGTGGGAGCATTGAATCAGACTTTCAGCACTTATCACTGTGTCACTGGCCTCAAAATGGAAACTGCTGTCACTTTTATGCACGGACTCAGAGCTTGCCTAGTTTCCCTGTAACCTCATTAAGCGTCCTCTCCATCATCCCCAAAACTGCTGCTGAACGCATTCTGGCAACGTGCCCTCCTGTACTGCAGCAGATATGGCTGGCAGTGTGCAGAGCTTATGACAAGGTATTAATTACTTGAGCATAAATAACATTCCCCTTATCTCTGCTTCAAGATCCACTACTTCTGATGGAAATATATTCATAATAATGAATAAGAGAAAACAACAAAAGGAGTAAATCTGAGCATAAAAATGAGTGACAGGTCTCACAATGAGTGAAAATTAAAGCCAGGTAAGCTCAAATGAAAAATAAAGGTACATTTCAACACTTCTGTTGATTATCCCCTGGAAGCAAATGCCAAGACTTGCACTTTTAATGTCTACGCATCCTCACATCAATCTAAGAAACACAGTTTAGTAAAAACTAATAGTCTTACTGTGCTTAAATATGGAAAGCCATGCAGGAGGAAGCAGTGTCTGGAGACATCCAGGTCAGCCGGGCTGTGTCAGAGCACTGGTGACACTGCACAGGAACAGAACAGTTGGATGATGTGGTCTGGGAGAGCAGCTGATGCACAGGCTGAGGGCTTGCAGGCCTCCCTCCCACTGCAGCCCCAGACCCTCAAACAAAACCAAGCTGAGCAACAAAGCCTCTACTGTCTCCATTCACAGCTCATCAACTCTCCTGCATTAGGAAGGTGTTTCCCAGCTATCCTGCCAAGAAATACAGTTTTTGTTTGCTCAGAAACATTCATTAATGATTGGAAGGAAAGAAATGATTAATGAAGGAAAGAAATGTACACCTGAAATCAAATTACTTCAGTGAGTGTTGGCTGCTGAGCCTTCCATTGTTTTGTACTGTACGGTGCTGGAAAAGCATTTGAGCACATAGATTTGCCTGCTGGAGAGACAAAGTGTACCCTTATGTCTGCCTTTATGTTCCTTTATGAAAGAAGAGACTCACTCTCTTGCTTTTAGAAAAACTCAACATGCTCAATGAAATCAACCTCTGTTTGGGATGCAGCTCAGGAGGACAATGTGGGCTGGCCTGAGATGCTTTGGGAAGGCAACGACCAGACTGCCTGAGCCAACCCCCACAGAACTGACTGTCATCTATACAACTTGAAAGTATGGTTCCTTGTAGGTACCAAATACTAAGTCATTGTAATGGATGTGCACACACACCCGACTACACATCCAGCAATTATTTTGCCACTAATAATGTTCAATGACAAAAATTCCTAAGATGTAGGATATATGATTTCTCAGACTCGACAGTACTGGAAAAGAGCAGCTTTGTGTGATGAGATCTCAGGGGAAATGAAGTGGTGAAATAGCATTTTGGCAATTTGAAGATGGCTGGCTTCTCTCTGGAGGGTATCACACAGGTAGGAGAAGCAAGGTACAGATGCAATCCAGTGCCATTTTCCAAGCTGTCTATCTCTGGCATCACGTAAGGGACCCAGCCAGCTCTCTCTCATGCTGAATTGAACTGGACAAGTTAGCTCACCGGGTAGAGCTTATATAACCTCCCTCTGAGGGGCTGAAATTGCCTCTGCCTCACATAGATCAGTCACAGTTCTACTTTCCATTACTCTCTCCTACATTAGGAGTTCACTTCAGCTACAGAATGAAACATTCTGGAAAACAAAAAACAAAAAAAAATCTTTGTAGAGGCAGAGGTAGAGTGAGAAGTGAGGATCTTAGAGAAAGGACAAACCATTCTAGGAAATCTTACCTATTTTTTCTCCCTATTATCTTTTAGTTAATCCTGTTCTGTACTATTGCATCTCCTTCACAAAAGGAGAACGCTGCAGGGCCAGCCACCAACCAGCATGCTGGCACTAGTGGGGCCAGATGGCTTTGATATGTCAGCACGTGTTCCCATTAGCTACAGGAACATCAGCATCTAAACCCTTACTGTAAGTATGCATTTTATGGAAGAGAGTTTGGCAAACTCACTTCCCCAGTCTACCTACTCCAGGGACTCTAAGTGAAATTCCAGATCGTTTCAAGTTCCCGGGTAGCTACACATCTTTTTTTAATAATCAACTGGAAATGAGACACCCAGCCAGAAAAGAAACCTTTAGTGGGGCAGCATCTATCTGTTCTCTCATTGTGGATGGACTGTGAAATGTATCCGTACTTCCATAAAAAGAGTGCACAAAGATGACACATTGGTTTGATAGACAAAAACATTGGATGAACCTGCTAAGATCTGCAGGAAAGCTGTCCTATTTTGTAAGAAACAAACAACAACATCTGCGTCTTGGAGCAGAGCACCAACTAAGCTCTATTCGCAAAAGTCACGAAACAAAAACTCCAAGATGTACAAGAGAGGTTTTTTGGTTTTCTTTTATTTAAGCAGTAACAATATCTACAACACATCCACTCACAAGTTAAGTGAAGGCATGAAAACACATTCTTCATACTGAGATGGGAGCTTCTAGATCTTTACCTTTGTAAATACCCTTGCAAGGGGAGATAGGTTTTGAATGTCCAATGAACATTTTTTGAAACAACTACTGGTGGGGGTTTCAATTGTAACTGTGATTGCATTTAGTGAGCCTTGTCCACAGAGATCCAAATGCTTTGCAAATGAGTGCAAAGCTCAGAACCTCACCATACAGTTAAAAGGGGAGGGAAACTGAGGCACGGTGCTGTGCAGTGACTTGCCAAGATCAAGCAGCAGAGATCTGGATATAAACCTCAGGTCTCTGACTCGCAGTCAATTCCTCTCTTGCTTTGTGTGTGGGTTTTGACTGCCCAGCAGCTCACGTGTTATACAGGCAGATTTTCTTTCACCTCTCCCGCTGTTCCATTGGCTCCACTGAATGCTGCTGGCTCCCTGTCTTCTTCCTCTTCCTCTTCGTCCCCTCTCGCCGTCTCTGCTTCTCTCCCTCCACCCAGGACAGTGGCACTGGAGATGCTGCTGAGGAGCTGGCCTTCCCTGCGGGACTCAGCCAGCTCTTTGGCACAGCACACAGGAGTGTTGGTTTCGTAAGTGCTGTGGAAGCTGTTGTAGTCAACTTCGTAAAAATCCTTCTCCAGGGTGAGGACGGGAGTGAAGCGATGTCCCCACAGCACCTCTGTGTCCATGTAGGAGCTGCGAGCCTGGCAAGTCATCCCTGGGTGGAAAGAGAGGGATGTTAAATGCAAAGCTTCCTTACATGCTCACCCAGCCACTTCTTTCATTTAAAAGCACTTTCATGTTATTTCCATACCTGATTGCTCTGGGACACAGACAAAGTCTTCACTTAATAAGCCTCATAAAAGCCTCTATCATGAAAAAGCTGAGCTCTCAAAGGAAAAGGGGTGGACTCATCGCCGCATCTTCAGACTGCTTCCTGAAACCTGCACTTAAGGCTTTGAAGTCTGGTAGCACTAAGCAGCTTCTCTCTGTCCTCACTTTTCTCTGTCGAGGCGCTGCTTCCTTGTGTGGCTGCTACTAACAGTATTTCTGGTGAATCACGTGCTAAAATGACACACAACCCTGCCAATGCACTTCAATCCTGACCCACACAGCCCCCAAGGAGGATGAACCCCTGCCCTGCCAAAGCCACCTGCACTCCCACTGTGTCTCACGCTGCCCCTCTCAAGCTATAACCCCACCAGCTATTCCCCCTGCACACCAAGTGATGCAGTCTGTAAGGAGGAACAGGCTCCTGCCCCACTGATGTGACCCACAAGGGATGCTGGCTTACATATTCCTTTGGAGAGTTCAGTCCAACTATAATAGGTTGGCTGAATCAAAACACACAGCATCACGTAGTCAAGCTTGTAAGCACATTGAGTTGAGTGTCTTAATGGAATGAATGAACAGTGGGCAATATGAAACTGATTTTGTCCAGCTTCTTCTCAGCCCCAAGGATCAGAGTTTGTTTATGTACTTAGAAAACTTTTAAAGAGGCTTTGCAGAGCAGAGATAAGGATTCAGCATTGGAGTGACCTCCTCTGGAATCACCAGCTGATTGAGAAGCCAAGGCTGACTTCTCTTCCAAACATTTTTCATCTGCTCATCCTGAACGTGTTATGCTTTTGCTCTTGATTTGGTGAAATGTAGAAATGCTGACCTCACAAAGTCCTCCCACTGTTCTCCTTTGGAGTCTGAGTGATGGCCCTGACTGGAATACATTCAAAACATGCATTTGATCCAGTTTGCAGCCAAGGCTTCCAAGTCTACCTCCTGCAGCCCAAAGTATGCAAACAGAAATCCGAAATAACGCACAGGGGGAAAATAATGGTGTCAGATGCTGCAGGAAAGAGCGCATGTGTTCTCACCACGTGAGCTCTATGGACTGATGAAATCTCAGAGTAATCAAAAAACTTATCCTTTCAAAAAGCCACCTTTGAACAGTCTGAAGTTTGTTTCTTGTTTTGCTGCTATTAAGACACGAACACAAGCAGGATCTGCTGAAGACTTTAAAGCAGAAGAGGCCACTGACACTCACAAGGCTGGGAGCTGTAAGCAGACAGGCTGACTTCTACCATGGCTTTCCAGGAGCTGCCTGTAGGCATGGCGTTGTGAAGCCAAGAAAGAATGACCTTGCTAAATACAGGGGTCTGAGGCATCCAAAGGGAATCCTGCCTTGTAATCATGGCCTGAAATAGTTCCTCCAGTGGGGGAGAACCTGACAGTGAACCCGAACTCCAGAGACACGATCATGGTTATTTCCTGCTGTAAATATTCAATTAAGGAAGGAACAATAGAAAGCTCTCATCAACCCAATACTGCTCGCTGCCAGCTTCCTGCAGGAGCTGCTTTCTGTAACCCCAGGGGTACGCAGAGCCAGCACAATAAGACAACTTGTAATTGCTCCATAATCCCATTCAAATATTCCTTTTTAGCACATGTGCAGTGGTATTTTAATTGCGTGGGGACATACTGCTTGGCAACTCCTACATTACCCAGTAAACAGCAGCATTGTCTCTGCCTCGAATTCCATTAAGTGCCTGTTTTGCAGGCTGCCCTGTGCTCTTCAGCCTGGTTAATTAATGCAACTGTAATGTCCCCGGCTAATCACTACCTTTGTAACTGCAAAAAGATGACAGAGGAGGTGTGAAAACAATAAACCTCGCTTTTATGAACAGCACACGGATGCAGCCACCTCCTATTTGCATACAACGTGCACTCTGCCTTCTGTGCTGTGGATGTCGAATTCTGCCTTGCAGTGGCACTGATTCATTCACCAGGCTCGCACCTTTCATGCACTGCTCTGCACTCTCTGCAAAAACCAGCAGTTCTATTTCACAAGCCTTGCCTGTCCAAGTCCATGGGCACAGTGAATCATTACATCCCATGCTCACATCCATCAAGAACCGAGTGGGCCACTGCCATTCCATTCCATTGCAGCAGCCTTGCCCTGTGAGCTCCTGCTGTAGCTGTGTGAAGTGCTGCTGCCCTGCAGAGTGCATGCAATAAACTGGGGGAGATCTAAACTCCCTGGATTTCTTGCAAAAATAATCATAGTACGATACTCGGTCTTGAATAACGCTGCTAATGCTTTTCTTAAAATAGAGATAATTACATGCTTTAGGTTTAAATGGTGTGGATATTTAGTATAGTTATAGGGAAGGAAGGAAGTAATATTTGGTGACTGGGGCATTTCATTCAAACTCGTTTCATGCCAAAGAATATCTTCATTTCCCCCTTGTCAGCATAAGCAGATGTGCTTCAAAACTTACATCCAAAAAAAAAAATCACTGAGATTTTTACTTTCCAAGCATATTGATTTTTCCAGGACTATTAAAAGTTTAATTTTCTCCCAAACAAACTGACTTCAAAATGAGGAAGTATTCCTACTATCAATTTGTACTGCCTGCCATCTGTGTAAATGTGAAACGATGTGCAAAATGTTCACCTTTCGAATTCCAGCTCCATCTCCCTCACCCACTTCATTTCAGAGCTCAGCTTTCAACCGCAAACAAAACTGAATTTGAACTGAAAGCAGATAAAAGTTAGAAGCACAGAGTTACAAGCAGACGCACCAAGTTTTCAGTACAGCTGGAGCCAGTCCTTTCAGATAGCTGGAGACCAGAGAAGGGCCTCCAGGTTTCAAGTTCTGCATTAAGCATTTCATAGGGTGTTAATGGTCATTTCATTACAGCGGAACCCTAAGGAGTGGACTTTGGTTCTGCTGACCAGGGCCAGTGATGGGGTCTGTGCATGCTCCTTTCACAGCAGCCAGGAATACATCCAGAACGGCTTGTTTCTGCTTTCCAGTCAATGAAAAGATGTGAAATATATTGCAGTGTGTGTTAAACCAGGTGTTTCATTACATTCGAGAGCAGAGTCACTGAGGAAAGATTCCTGTGTAAAATTGGTGTCAGGGAACTCTACCAAAAAGGCACTTTCCTGTCATCAAAATCAATGGGGATCAAGCAGCTTACATTTTATCAAAGACAAAGGCATGTAAATACGTGCTGACAAAAACCAGTTCTTTGATGGCTCTCTCAGTGAGGAGCCTGTATTTTCTGCAATGCACTCAATGAGAGCTGCAGACTTCAGAACGTTTCACTGCTTGCAACACCACTGATTACACAAGCGGAGCAGCGGCTGCTGGCTCTGCCTCACTGCTGTGGAAAGGGGAAAAGCTGCAGGAGAGCACTCCAGATATCCAAGCCTTGCTTCCCCTTAAGTCACCAGTTAAAATCAAACTTCGTTATCGTGGGCCAAATCTTACTGCACTGCGCAGCTGTTTGGGTGCCCAGAGAGGAGCCAGCCGTCTCCCTCTAACTTCAGAGCTTGTTTTTTCTCTACGTGTTCCAGCACAGCCTGTACCCGTATTGGCAGTTTCACAGGAGAGGGCAGGAGGACCACAAAGCACGACCCACCAGCCAAGAAATGGCTGCAGGCTTCCATCGGATCGCATCAGCAGCAGAGCTGAATGGTTTGGCACTGTTACACAGCCTGGACTTCCTCAGCGGGTACAGCCACCCCAAGCCCTGGGGCTGTCAAGACAACGTTTTTCATCAGCCTAAAATTAACTCTCCTCATTTAAATGCCACGAGGCTCAGCGATTATCTGCTGGCAGCGCGTCATGCGGATGCTGACTGCATGTTTGCTGTATTTGCTCTGCTCTCTCTGCAGTTTAGCCACAGACACTGCTGGAGGTCATTTCACCTCTCTGGCCCTGGCTTCATATGCTGTTGTGCACATGCTGATTTCTCCCCTTGTACCAGGTGCACTAAGGATGCACAGAGCAGACTGCTGCTTCAGCTGAGCTCCAGCTGCACTACCAGAGCACACAGAAAGAAGTGATGGGCTCAGAGCTATAAGAGCAGACTGATGGCAAGCAGTAGTTATAAAAAATTTACTTCTATCGCTCCAATTAAGAAATACGTGTCTTTAAATTAGCATCAGCATTTGAATAGTGATAAAAGTTATTAGTCCCTTTGCATTAATTAGACCGAGGAACTCTGCAACCTCCAAAAAGTCAATTTTCCTCCAACCTCAAAAGGAATATTAGAAGGTAGGAGCATGGCCCTCCAATTATTCACGCTTGTCTCTTTGAGAGGAGGACATGTCCAGGATTGATTCACTTTGATTTTTATGCCAGAGGAGAGTAATAGGATTTTAATATTTCTGAATGCTCTCCAGGCATGGAAAAGCTCCCAAGCATTGGGAAAAAAAATAATAAAAGGGCATTGTGATTTGAAAAGCTTGAGTTCGATGGCCTTCACTCTGCCAGGCAGAACCTGAGGCCCAGGCACATCCCTCACAAATGCATTCCTAGTGACTTCAGGGACATCCAAGAAAAGAGGTGTGCCCACGTCTGCCCATGGAGCACAGTGTGGGTGGTGAGAGCAGTGACTGCAGGTGTCTATCTCTTGCCTTTAATTACACAGGCAGTGCCTGTAACAGTTCTGCAAGGTCCTTCTCGCAGAAGAGAAAGTGTATTTATATGCAAAATGCTAAACAAAACAAAAGAGAACCCAAACCAGATGCTGAATGCTTGAGAAATCCACTTATTATTTCAGCCTTCCTTTGTTCTCCCAAGAAAATCATGACTAATTTCAGAATGCATTATGTTGCAACTGCTTCTTTTTGTCCTACATATAAAGCCACAGCATTTGTCTGTATCCTCTGTAAAGATGGATGGTGTGAGATGCAAAAGGGCTGCATTCCCACAGGGACAGGATGAGGAACTGAGATGCAGAATCCTGACACGTGGCTGATTACTTATATATATATTTACTTATGTAGACTGCAAGTCAGAAATACATCTACCTGTCCTTTCCAGGTGTTTACTGTAATTTTGTTTAGCCATGGACTAGTCAGGTCTTTCAACTGTGTGGTATTTAATACAGGTGGCAGCAAAAACCAGTGAGGACAAAGGGAGATGTGACAAACACCAATGCACCAATGTCTCTGTGCCCAGATGTGAGAAACACTGGACAGTGTAGACTCAGAATGAGGCTTACAGGACAGGTACTGATACATTTAATCTTGATTAGTTGTCTCTAAAGAGCAGCAAAAAGGTAAAGCTGGAAGAGAAGAGGTCTTTTCTGGTATGTAGACTATTTCATCAATCGGAATGACGGTGACATTGCTGTTTTAAATGGAGTCTCTCACCTTCTCTAATTGAACCAGTCATTTCTCCACCACACAACCCAGTGACTCTGCAACCACATGGAAGAGGTTTGTGAATCCCCACTGTGTTTGCACACCCTGGTGGCCCTGGTTGCTATTAAGTACCAGGGCAAGGCCAAGACACGGCCAACAACAGCCTGGCCCCCTTTTGTCAATAGGATGGTTCTGATTTTTTCTTGCCACTGTGGGAAGCAGAAAGACAGTGAAAGCAAAAATGTATTCACTTGGCAAACAGATTTTCCACTTCCACTCTCTTTCTTTTTATTGCAGGTCAAATTTGGGCCAGCTGGACGAGTGTCTCTTTAAGATATGGCACAAGAGAATTAATTCCCTAAAGTAATCTCTATGACCAATTCATTAAATGAGCACTGTGAGCAGAGCTGCTGCTTTCAGGATGCCCACAGAGCAGCAGTGAAGTCAGAACTCTTGTCATCTATATTGATTTTGTCCTTCCAGTGGTTATTTCACTCAGCGACGATCACCACAGATCTGCCCAGAAATGCAGCCTCCCTTTGGTGCTCTTAACCTCTTGTGGAGTCGCAGTGCCACAACCACACTGAAATAATGTTTGGAAAGGCCCTGAGCAGCAGCCATCTGCACAGGGTGGGAGTGCAATGGCTGTGGGGCCCTGGAGAGCTCTCACTTCACTAATAAAATGTTTATTTTCTTCTTCAGCCAAAGGAAAACCCGGTGGTTCAGGCTGGCTGATGTGCTTCCTGTGTGCTGGTGCCCTGTTTATTTACCCTTCTGAAAAATTCAAGCCCAGTGGAAAACGTTGCTTTAAACCATAACGTTCCATTTTGTAAACAAACAAACAAAACATCACTTTTTATTTGAAACTATTTACTGTCTTTGCCTTCCATGGAATGGGAATTTAATGTCAGTGAGGGAGTTACCTTTCTGAGAGCAGGACAAAGCATTTCTTGGATGTGTGGCTGTCTAAAACTACAGGCTGTGGCTATGAAATTGCTCTCCTCAATGGTTATTCACTGAACATTATTCACTCAGAGATGATGCTCAGAATTCCTTTGCTCATTTACACATTGACAATCACTGCACAGCTGGATCTGGCCCGCTTTCCAAAATCCTCACCAAACTCAGCCACCTTCCCCACCACTGCAGGGTACGACCTGTTGTTCTCTACAGACTGGGAGAGTCTCCATTCATTTTCCCTCCTGCCAACAACTGCAGAGCTGAGCTCCCCCCAGGCTGCACGCAGGACCTGTGTGCTCTGGGGCACCATGAGCAGAGTTGGGTGTGCTTAACAGCCCCCCCCAGTTATTAAGGGAACAAGCAGCCTGCTGTGTTTTCTTGCTGTCCCAAACCTGAACAGGTTGTAGTGGTGCCATCATTTCATAGAAGTGGCACTGCAGGTAAATGATACCATTCCTGAAAGCAGATGAGGCTTGGGCAATAGGAGGGAAAGGACCGAAAGCTGGGAGCAAAAGTTATGATATGGAGGGAGGGTCTTCACAATGAAAGTCTCCAGAATGGGTTTAATCAAGATAATGAAGAGTAAGGACTAAGCAGGGAAGCTGAAACACTGTGCTTCCACCAGCCACTTTCACTGGGATGTGTGCCATTCAGAAAACCAGTTCAGCCTCTGATCAGATCACACCACCACCTGAGTTCTGCTCCCACTCTGCTCTAAGCCCGGTGCAAACTGGCTCTCCTAGCTCTGGTTTTGAAATTTCACACCGTGTCTTCTGAGACCATAAAAAGTCATTTCCACTGATGTCTGTTCCTTAATATCATTACGCACAGGTCTGTACAATCCCTCTGGGAAAGGAGCCCATTTGTAAAGTAATATCATTCCTATGCCATGCTTTTAATTTTAAGGTTGTTGCCGATAATGATTTCCCCTCACACAATCCAGCAGGGACTGAGTTCTCATAGGAGGACAGCAGAGCAATGCTGTTCGAGCAGAATTTGATGGTGTCACGGTGTGATGAGGAAAGAGGCTTTGGACATGCAAGGAACTGCATTCCGTGCTCACATTAGGTGGTTCTAGTACCTGGCAATTGTTTAGGCTACAAAATAAGCTCCCATTACAAATCCTCCCCTTTAATATTCCTTTCCACCCCCTCTTCTTTTGCCACATCTCTATAAAATTCTGCTGGCAAAGAATATTTGCCTAGCAATGCCACACGAATTCCACCCATACAATGCAGTACTCCAACCTAAGCACAGTGCAATCTGCATAACCACCAATTAGCTCTTAGGAACGCTCACCTGTTGCTATTCACTAATGACTATAGGGAGATATTAGGGAGCAGAGTCAGTTCTCTAGAGTGCTGTCTTCAGGTCTGAAGTTCTGGGGTGCAGGATTTGGAAAGACTGTTCCCCCTTACATTCAGCTGTTAGGAGACCAACAGGGACAAATCACAAGGAAGGGACAAGATCCATTGTAAGCAAAGGGCAGAGTCTGTAGGACAGGATGCTGATGCCATATCAAGCAGAAATCCCATGTTAGTGTTTCAGAGAGAACATGTGCTTCAATAAGATGAAAAAATCCTCAGATTCAGAGCAGTCTTGTAACAAAAATCCTTAAATGCCAAAGGGCAAAATTACTCATAAAAGCATTTCTGTATCTTTGAGTCTTTCTAGGCTCCTGCATCTCTAGACAGCAATTTGCTCCTCCCTGCTGCCTGCAGTCCCATTGCCCTTAAGGACCCTGATCTGACCACGGCACGCTGCCAACCCCAGGCTGAGAAAGCCTGCCTGAAGGGAGCATCAGCATCTCAGGCTGCTTAAAATCTCTTGCTCCCTGTTGGCTCTTTCTCAATGCCTAAAATAAATGAATTAGCTGCAAGTGGTAAAATGATCCCTTACGCCTTGTCTTTTAGGTATGACTCCAGAGTAAAAGCATCTTCTCCATTAGCCAGACCCCACAGGGATGCACTGCATCCTGCCAGTGGGAAGGACATGGAGGGCCTTTGCAGACATCCATCCTCTCACCCTGTGAGAGGCACGCTGCCAAACCCCTTTTACACACCTTGAAAGGCTGAGGCACACAGCTTTTCCAGATTCATTTTATATGGAAGCAGATTTCTTTCATTGCCCACCACAAATACATCCACAGGGGGAAACTGGGAATCAGTTGAGCATATCTCCTAATCTGCCTATTGCACAGAATTGTTTTATGCTGTTAAACAGCTGGTATTTTTCCTCTCTGAGCTCCTTTTTAAATACATGTCCTGCATCATGTGCAAGTCATCCAGTTTCAGCACACGCTGTTTTATGGGATATTGTAATACTGGGGCACTTCCTTCATAGCCTCCATTAAGTAGCAACACCACAGCAGTATCTAAAATAACAGAGTTGCAGCCAATCTGTAATACTGAGGAGAAATGGAAAAGGATTTGCAGCATGAATTTTGATCACAGAAAGCAGAACCACACAAGACCTCCCAGATTCGTTCAGTTCATTCCTTTTTTTTTCCCATGGATCTATTCTAATTGATTATGGACAGCTCTTCATCTAACTCCTTTGTGTGACTCCAAACACGACAGTGTCAGCTGAAGGACCTCTCTTTCAATCACTATCCAAATCAGACAGCAATACCTCACCCAAATGAGTCACAAGAGAATGATAAACCCCAGCATGTTCTCAGTGAAATTTCTCCCTTTTCTCCCTCAAAACAGTGACTGATTTTGACACGTGCTTACCTGTTGCTTCCACCATTCCTTCCAGAATGACCACAATCTCAAACTCTTCCTTCTCCAGCTGGGTGCGGGACATCTCCCAGAAGGGGCTTTTCTCATTGATTTCATGTGAGATGATAAGAGGTGACACCAGGAACAATCTGTCATCTCCAGTGTCAAACCCCACATTGATGTCTGTTTGGTTCAAGGGGATGAACTCTCCCTCTTTGGTCTGTTTGGACTTAATCAGTTTGGCTCTGATGGAAGCCTCGACAATGTGCGAATTGCGGAGGTCTCCAACACGAAACATGAGACAGAGCTTCTCATCCCTCATGGAAATCACTGCATTGTTAGAAAACATGAGGGTTTCAGCTCTCTTCTTTGGTTGGCTGATCTTGACAAACATGCATCCCACCATGAACGCGTTGACAATGGAGCCCAGAATAGCCTGGATCAGGAGCAGCACAATGCCCTCCGGGCACTTCTCTGTTATAACCCTGTAGCCATACCCAATTGTAGTCTCAGTTTCAATAGAAAAGAGAAACGCAGAAACAAATCCACTGAGATTTTCAACACAAGGGATCCAGTTTTCATCTTCAAGATGGTCCAGGTCTCCCCGGATATAGGCGATGAGCCACCATATGAACCCAAAAAACAACCAAGTGATGGTATAGACCAGAGTGAAGACAAGAAGATTGAAACGCCATTTGAGGTCCACCAGCGTAGTGAAGAGGTCACTCAGGTATCTGTAGGTTTCTTGGACGTTCCCATGGTGCACGTTGCACTTGCCACTTTTCTCCATGTATCGCTGCCGTGGCTTCTTACCTTCTGCTGTTATGAGCCGGGTTCGGTCGGTGGCAATGGGAACGTCATCCCGAGCCTGCTTGGGAATCTTCTTAGGCTCTCTGGATGCAACTCCGATGTCCATGTCCTGGTTCATGAAGATCCTAGAATCTCTGGCCATGGCTGGGCTGGGGGAGAATAAAGAAATGAAGTTTAAGATCAGAGGGAAAGAATTGAGACAACAGCCAACATCATTGTGCTGTGTGAACCACTGGGGAAGGGAAGGGAAGGGAAGGGAAGGGAAGGGAAGGGAAGGGAAGGGAAGGGAAGGGAAGGGAAGGGAAGGGAAGGGAAGAAGAGCAGGACCACAAAGAGTGCAAACATTGACACTGCCTTGACAAGACATGCTGATACAGGGCTGGATACAGGCTAACTTTACACTGGGAAAGATTTTTGCTTGAGGCACATCTTCCTTCCTGGTCTGCACAGCACTTTGAAGGGCTTCTCTGCCAACAGCCACTTGCTAAATACAGTTGTGTTGAACTGGGTGTTAAATACTGATTCGTAGCACACAGTCTCTATGAAGGTGAAGCAGCTGCCTGTCACCTCACTTATCACACCACTGGACCTCTGAACCATGCAAATGAGAATGGCCTGGGTGATGTTTTCCTTGTTGAAACCTTTTGGTTTTCCCTTAATTTTCTGACATGGTGCTCAGTTGTTTCTTTGTTTTAGACCCCAAATTTCCCAGAGATCACAACCAGAAGCAAAGTATAGCTGTAATGATGTACGTTCTCAAAAGGGATTGGAGTTTCCTGCTGCCTGAGGTCTGGGGTACCAAGAGAAACCTTAGAAATGCACAGAAATTCTCTGCACTACTGCCTGCCTAAATCTCACACAAGTCTAAATTATTCATCAAGGTTTCCCTTACAGTCAGCAGAGAAAAGAACCTCCAGGGATAATGCAGATTTCAGATGTACTGATTCACCTTCTGGGTACATTCACTGCTTTCCACAAATTATTCTGGGATCCTGAATTCCAGAGGTGAAATAGGATTTTTGTTCAGCATCTTCAACTACGTGTCCATGGGTCTGATGGATCCAGACCTACTGGTAACCAAATATATGAGAACTCTTTTACCTCATTTGATGCCAGACAAACAGCAGACACTTTCAGAAATGTAACAGCTATTAAAAACCCACGGTCTACATGCAAAACCGTGCTTGATCAGATACAAATAATACAAAATGATGTCTGAAATGATTTTTGCAGGTTATCATGCAACATCCTGTTTACTCAGATGATTCAATATACCTCTAAAAAAAACCCACGCATGCTCCATAGAAAAATGAGAATCTCCACTCTAAATGCAGGGCACAGACAAAATCTCTGTGAAAGACTACCTGAGAAGCCTTAGGAATATCAAAGATAGAGTAGCAATATTCTCTATGATGTTCATTCTCTGCATTGCCCTCTGCAAATCCTATTAAAATCCAACTAAATCTATTACTGCTCCCTCTATCTTTAATCTTCTTATGAGCCTGTGAATAAGAAGAGGTGTAGAGATACAATTAAGAGTATCTTGGGAAAGATAATTTTAAGGACGAGGAATGTAGCTTCATCTTTTCAGAATTAAAAAGCACGAAGGGTGGGCAGGAAGGAAGCAGAGGCAGGATGAATACACGAAGTAACAAATTTCCACTTCTATTCTGCTGTAGCCAAGTCTGGTTAACAGCAAAGAACTGCTCTACTCCCTTGTACAAGTCACCATCAATCATTACCCCACTGAAACAGCCAGAGCTTGTTGTTGGAACCGTCCCTGCTGGCTCCATCCACCAGGGAGCCTGGCCATCTGTCCGCAGCACAGCCCCAGCGCTTCCTTCTGCTGGCAAAGCTGCCTGCTTGGAAGGGTCTGAGCCAGGGCTGGGGCAGTGCAGTCACAGGAAGGGGAAGCAGAAGGGATTCGTGTATCTGGGATGGTAAGCTCAGGGAATCGGTTTGCTGTGCCACTGCCTGACATCACAGACGCGGCTTAGGTAACCCCAGCACCGTGCTGCTCCCTTTCTCTAACAGCATCACCAAGGATTTGAGCAGAGTATTAATCCCTACCTCTGTCCTCACATTCCTTCTCTGCAGAGGACTCTCAGGGCTGGCTAACAGCAGATTCAGACGTACCTCGAATCATTTTCTACCAGTTTTTACAAATTCAAATCCCCCCAGACATTGGTGTGGCTCTTTGCTGCCTTTTGGTGTCCATCTGCTTACATGCACACCGAGTGGCTGCTTGAGATTATAAGGATGCACACCGACACCTCACAGCATGCAGTACCCTATGCCAAGTGCAAGTCAGAACAACCAGAAACTTTCATTTTCCTTTTCAGTAGGAGAGGAAGCATCCCATCACTGCATTTGATACAGAGAGCCTCTCTGCTCCCTCCTCAGCAATATCACTTTTGATCCTTGTATTGTTTGATCGATCCATTACTCCATTTGGATCCATCTATATACGTGCAGAAGTGTGAAAGCAGGTAAATGTGGCAAGTTTTCAATTTAAAAAAAGAATTTTCTTATTTAAAAAAAAGGCATAGAGCTTAAATTTAAAACTGAATTTCACTCACACTAAAACTACATAGGAGAGAACAACTGATCCGAAGACATTCATCTATAGAGTAAGGTTCCATATTTCAGATTCATACCCAAGAGACCAAAAGGATCTGGAAACATATTAAAAAGATCAGAATAGAATAAAAATAATCATAAGGACTAAATCCCTAGAAATATCACTCTGGTGAAACCAGCTACAAGGACTGCCCATTAATGAAAATACAGGGAAACTTGCTTTCACTAAAACACTCAGGGGACTGGCAACACCACTTTTCTAATGCTACTGATCTTTAGCAATAGGTCAAGAGAAATCTGTCTGGAAATCTTTAGGAACACCTCACAAGTGCTCCATTAAAGCAACGAAATTCCTGCTTTAAATGAACTTTACTGACAGCTGCAGCAGCCTTGCAACTTCTGCTAATGTTTGATTTAATGCTCTGCCATCGCAGTGGGAACTCAATATGTGGTTACTGACAATAATTAAGCACATGAATCTCTGAGCACAGGTTTGGGGGTCTGAAGACTATCCAGCTTTCTGTTACAAATGCACTATTTATTCTCTAATTCCAAGCAAATCACTGCCTCTCCCTCTTCCTTAATTTCCCAACTACAAAATCTGTGATACAAACACAGACTGTGAGATCCGAAGCAGAAGAATCTAATAGGAAATTCACTATTAGTCCCTTATTAGTTCAACTGCACTGGGAAGTTTATGATGGATGGCAAGACACCAAAGAGGACTGCTGTCTCTATGTCAGGAGTTGGTTTACTTCTCTATTGTATGATACACTGCCATCAAGCACACACATCTTTTCCAGGTGCTGGTAATTACGTGTAAGCATCTTACAGAGATTTAGACTTCAGTTTGTAAACCATTCCTCTATCCAGCAAAGAGATCTGTGACACAGAATTGCCTCTTACCATCACGCACGCCATCCTGCTTCACTGGCATTTACCATCTTTGGTTAAATGGGGCCAGGATAATAAAAATGTCACATTTGTACAAAGCTGCTTTCCTTTTGGACAGATAGCTGCAAAAGAAGATGTGAGTCACTGCATTATCAACCTTGCAAAGAGGCTTTTTATCAGACTGGCTGTTGCTCAGCTTTAGCCAGACAGACTTGGGGGCAGGCAGCGACATTTGCGCTCTTGGCTCTGCAGAAGCAGGGTCACACTGGGGTTGGTTCATATCTTCCCAAGGCATTGTTCTGCAGAGCTCTCTACGAGCCCATCCTACAGCACTGATGTGCCTCCTGATAGTCCCAAGTGCTCATGATTTAAATTTGCTGAAGACATTGCAGGAGGCAAACCTAACAAAGTCTGCAAGAGGTTTTTTCCCTGCTGGCCATGGTCACTTTTTCCATTTAGATAATTGCTGATCTCATTGGGGTAAACGCAGGTTTCAGCATGGATAGGATTTGCCTTTGGAGAGGTCTGACCTTGCAGGCAATAGGAGTTTGGATATAGGAATTTGTCACTAAGTTTGGGTAAAAAATCACTTCTTACTGTTTGCTTCAAACCCACTGCCTGTGTCACCTTATGGCATGGGAATAAATGAGCAGCTGTTCTTTAGCAACCCGTCCATTTCCCCAAGTCAGGATTTTACTTTATCACCTGCTTCCCAAGATGAAGAGCCCTGCACTGCTAAAGAAGCAACCAGTACAGCAGTACTCACTGAACTGATCACCAATGGAAGACCTTGTGCAATTCATACCATCTTTCTTAGAAATAGACGTATAAGTAAAGGGTATAGAGACTCTTTACAAAGTGCTTGGAGATCCAGAGGTGAAGGTACCTAAAACCAAGGCAGGACACCTCAGGAAACTGCACAAGAGAGATCTGTGACACTTCACTAATAAGCATGCAGTCCCAAAGCTCCCTCAGCCCTATGATTTCTTTGTGGAGTGCATTCCCTCTCAGCACTGATGCTGACCTGTCTGCTCGGGGTCCGTTAGGCTCAGAAATGCCACTGCAGAAGGTGTTCATTCTTTCAAAACAAAATCCCTCCTAAGGAAATCTCTCTGGGTTGGAAGTTAATATGGCACAAAGACTGAGCTTATGGACATTTGTGCCTCATCTTTATCTGCTCGTTACCTCCCAGTCTATTTTTCTCCCCTGCAATAATCACAGTTCTGATATCCCTCAGCCCTTTCGTTGTCATTTGTGAGGCAGTAATGTGCCCTCAGAGCATCCAAGTGTTTCAGTGCTCAATACAAGTAACATGCTTATTTTTTATTGTTATTACATTATTATTTAATATCTGCGCAATAAGGAAGTGCTCTGGTTCCCATTTATCAGGAAGGGGAAGCAAAACAGAGATGCTTGCTTCTTGCATGGATGGGAGACCTGTGGCAGGGCGGGGAATGGCAGCCACAGATCCCCACATCTCCAACATGTGCCTGAAGTCACCACACCTCCCAGCAGAGCAGCAGCAGTTCCTGCATTTTGGTGCATCCAGAGATTGCTCAGAAAAGCCTACAGAGCCTTATTTACCAGCATGGCTAACCTGGCTCCATTATTCCTAATGGCAAACAAATAATGCTGCTGTCTTTACTGTGAACTTTTTCAAAACCGGAGGAGTGAGTTCCAGAAAAAGAAAACACCTTTTCTTTCTCTGGATTTTCTACAGTTTTCAAATTGATATTTCCCCTCAATACATATAAACAAATCCCACACAGTATATCAGCTTCAGACCAGTGCAGAAAAGGATGGAAAAACTGTAATGAGAATGAAGACTGTGTGTCTGGGGCTTCCAGGACAGGTCGTAATGACAGCAGTGTGGAGGCTGCAGCAATTTGTTACAGAACAGGGACTGGAGAACAGGGAGTTCCCACAGCACCAGGGCTGCCCACTGCCCAATGTAACACAAAGGGAAGAGGAGAGGATGTCAGCAGCATAACCTTCAGTCAATTATACCTGTTGGAGTTATAGAAGTTGAGCACGAAAAGTCTGTGTGCAAAGGACAGATTCATAATATTACACTGTTGGGTGTTCTGAACCCATTTTGAATAGCCAAATGATATTCTCTTTACAGACGAAAAAAGGCAGAAAATGAACCAGTTTGATCTCTGCATCTCCAAGGGAGCTGCTCTGCCTGAGGCACTCTGCAGCCTCTCTGTCCTTTCACCCCAGACTATTTTTAGGGGGACCTTATGGTGTCATTGCAGAAGTGACTGTTACCTTTCAACAAACACAAGTGAACGCAGACAGAGAGTCCTGTTCTGAGGAGACATTGCTGTTCCTGGCTGTCTACCCGTGGCACACTGCGTACTGGGGTATGCAGAACCTCAATTCTAGAGAAAATACTGCTCCAAAAGCACCAATATTCCTGTTCTCCATTGTTCATATATTGCACCGTTATTACAACTGACATTTACTGCACAATCCTGCAGCTGGCTTAAAAAGAAAATAAAACTGAAGGATGCTAACACCACCTCACACCTCTACAGCAACTTGCAGCCAAACAGCTCCAAGATGAACTAGCCAAATATTGGCTCCTTCCACCCTGAGAGGTTTAACAGTGCCACTGAACTGCAGACAAGAGAAAATGAGTCACAGAGGGACAAAGTGATCTACCTGAGACCAAATGGCTGGTGAAGTGCCAGCATCATCCCAGGCGCCAAGTGTCTCTCCCAACCTCTATGTGAATAGGAAGTGGTGACTCATAAAGGTCCTCAGATATGTCTCAGAACATGAATCTGAAAGTCTGTTTTTGCCTGTTTCAGAGCCTGTAACTAACAAGGCTGGAACTTTCCAGAGGTGGACAACGTTCTCTAAGGGAAACTAAAAATGATCCGGATTCCTTATCTCCACCTGATGATGAACAATAGGGGAAAGGACCCCAAAAATGAAGTAACTCCCCCAATACAATTCCTACAGATGGTGTTTGCTTGGACTGCTCAGAGAACTGCTGAGAGGAACCAGCTTTGTTTCCCTCCAAACCACTCAGCCATAACTATAAGGCAGTTTTCTTCTCCAAAGGAAAGGGGTGCACTGATGACCTGTTTGACTACCAAACCTCAGAAAGCCACGTAGCAAGCTTCTGGAAACAGGGACAACTTCTGGCAGTTCTTGATTGGTTTCCTGAAACTCTCAGGTCAAAAACAAATGGGGGAGATGCTGTATAAAAGTTAGCATGTTACTCCCAGCAGCATGAATTAACACAACAGCACAGACTCTGAGCACTATCTGCTCAGTGTCAGTACACAAAAGAGTCAGGGTTTTACTTCACGGGGCCATTAACACCCCCTCGAGATTCCCAATGCATTAAATGGTCTGTCTCCCTTTAGGGCTGATCATGCCAATTCACTGAGTATTACACTGTAAGGGTTCTTTGAACACAATGTGGCTACTAAGTGTCCTAATTCTAAAAGAATTTAATCTTTGACTCCAGGTTAGGATTACAGTCACTCCATGCATCTCAGGGTTGTTCAGCGACCTGTCTGCTCCAACCTGCTGTATTCCAGTGACTTCCACTAATCTGGTTTTGGGGCACTCCATCATTTAGAATGCCTTTTCCTACATAACACCTCTGCTAGATCTGACGGTGCCTTTGCACAAAATCCACTTCTAATCCCCGGCTTCCCACGGTCTCCCAGCAGCCAACAAGTTAGACAGCAGCACGTCTCCAGCTGTCACCCGGCAGGGCTGGGCACGGAGACTTAACGCTCAGCTCCTTCTCCTCCTCCCTCCTGGGCTACTGACTGTCAACAGCCAGAGAGGAAAGCAAGGAAGCCGACAAAGCAAACACAATGAGGTAACTTACTTGCTGAGAGCAGCTCCGCATCAGTCTCGTGCCGCGGCACTTCGGGGACGCCGGGCGGTGACCGCACCGAGAGGCAGCTGCTGGGGGAGCGGCCGATCCATGCCATCACCAACAAGCTGCGGTGCTCTTCTGATCCCGGAGCCGTCTCCTCCTTCCCTCCCTCTGCCCGGCATCACAAAACATTTACGTGGCACCGCACGGTTACAATCGTACACCCCCGTCCCTGGGCGCTGGGCTCTCTCGCTGTCGGGCTGACACGGGGAGCTCCTCCCGACCGGAATGACGTCCTGGCGGCACGCAGCTCCCCCGGGGCAGGGAGAAGAGCAGCATCCCTTGCAACGAGCAGGAAAGGGGAAGGGAGAGGCGGCGGGAGGGGACGCGGAGGGAGGGGTTTAGTGCTGCCTTGCATAGGGGGGATGGAGCGGTTTCGGTGCCTGGGAAAAGGCGAGGCGCTGCGCTGCCCATCACCGCGTGCTCATCGCCCTCCTCGCCAATTCCCCGAGCCCCGGGCTTACTTTTCCACCCAGCCGCCTGCTTCTCTGCTCTCCCAGTGCCCAGCTTCTTTTTTCCTGCATTACTGAGCGAGTTTTCTTTTCTTCCCCTTTTCCCTTTCCAGTGGGTGGGGAAAAGAAGAAAACCCATTGTTTTAAATCACACACACCGAAGGTGGTCCCGTGCAACCTGCTGCAGGGAACCTGCTTTAGCAGCGGCTGGACTGGATGATCTCCAGAGGTCCCTTCCAAGCCCTGAGATTCAGTGATTGCCGTAAAACAGAACGGGAAGGATGCAGAAGCCGCGCATTTAGCAGGGAGCACACATGCTTTTTTCTTTCTTGTTATCATTGATAATACCACACTGTCTCCCTAGCTTCATAAATATTTCCTCTTCTGAAAAGCAAATGTCAGGCCAGCTGCATATGTAAGATCTGCCTCCCGAGTGCAGGTTGCCTTCAGGCTTTGCTGCTCTGTTCCTTACTTCTCATCCTCCACTCCTCCCTCATTCCCTCTTTCAGGAGCCACATGCATTACAGCCCATCAGAAGTGCTTTCTCAGAAGGTTTTCTGGGCCAGAATAGAGAGCTTGTCAAAATCACATGGTGACACAAGGATGTGTCAGTAGCACTGGAAACTGACAGCATTTGTTTCCATTTTCTGCTGTGAAACAATAATCAACGTCTTCAAAATTATGCATCATCTATAAAATAAATTTCTATTTTGATCCTACTGTATGGGAATGGAGTCTCCCTACGTTAGATCTTCTGCCTGCTCACAATCATTAGCAACACTCTTTGTTCTCCCATTAGCACGTATTTTACCTTTCAGGAATGTGCCTATGATACATGAAGGATCCTCATAAAATTTTGGTTTGAGGTGAACAGTTGTGGCTGTTGGTGATATATATATATTTTTTAATAAAGAGTTAAACTAACCAAGCATTAACTCACAGAACACAGGAGTCAGTCGCCATGAGAATTACAACGTTCCCTTCCAGGAGTTGCTGCATCCTGCTTCCATACAGCAATAAGGATATGCTTCATAGGAGCACAACTCTGCTTATTTCACCTCTTTATAAGACACAGAATGAATCTTGGTGCTGCAAAGGGCAGTCCTGCCAGCAGCCATAAAGGAACAGAGTCTCTGCAAAGCTGATATGATGTGGGCAACGTCAGGAAAAGCCTTTCTTGTCACATCCCCCCCATATTTATCCAATGCAGCTCACCTACCCACCCAGAGGAAGGGTCTTCCAGAGTGGTCACTATCTGGTGATAATTCTCCCATTTTGAGCTGCACCACCGCCTCACCCACGTGTTGGAACTAGCACAGTTCCAGGCAATGCAAATAAAAACTTTTGCATTTTGAGTAAAATCCTACTTCTCTTGCCACGAGTGGAACTGCTAACAAGCACTGCCATCTGCTGGCACCATGTCCTGTCACTGATTTCTCTACAAATAGAGAAAGGGTTTAAAGTGGATTCTCCCAGCTCCCGCTGGTCTGTGAGCTTGCAGAAAGCTGTATTTCCCAACACTCATTATTCAGCTAGAAATGACACCTCTCCCCTCTTGAGGCATCAGCTCACGAGCAGCCACACCATCCTGCTGCTTCTCTTTGCAATCACACCGTGCTGTGCTCAGATGGCAGAGCAGGGCGTGCTGTAAGGCTGCTGCTGTCCCAGGAGAAAATGCAGAAGTTGCAATGCACTGCTGGCAGCTCCTCTATTTAACTGCAAGGAATCCACCCGGGATTGCAGCAAGTCCACACGTGTTTTTGCATGGGACTGTCATAGGCTAAATTTTGCTTTATGGCACAGCTAGAAGCCCCAGCAAGAAGCATGCACCTGTCATCCAGGATTGCTACTTTCTATGAAACAACAATGCCCTGAGCATCTCAGTTCAGTGCAGCATGCAAACCACTGCCAGCACATCTCATGGTTACTCAGGAGAAGGCAAAATCTCAGGTGCAAAGATAATATTCTGAAGGTAAATTCCAGGCAGTGAATATCACGTCCAGTTTACTTAGCTGGCATACTTTAATGCCATTTGTACCCTTAGGAGTTAAAAGCAACTCGGCATTTCTTACAGCAGGTTCCACGTGTTGTGACCTGAGTTCACTTCTGGATTCTTCTCATCTCCACTCTGGCTGCAGGAATGGTGACCCTCACTGACTCCATGAAGTCATTTTATTACTGTTTAATCTCATGTGTGCACACCTGGCATCACAAAAAAACAGCAGCCCTGGACAAAAGGCCTCTATGTAGCCACCAAAGGGGTACTGTGCAGACAGCATCTCCCAGTGCTGCCCTCTCCTTGCACCCCAAATGCATTCAGGTGATGAAACAGAGCAGTACTGGAATTGCTGGGCTGTGAGCTCCTCCCACTTTGTTCCCTCACAACAGAACCTCAAGGCAATTTCTGAGACATGCCTTATTACAAGACTACGAGAGCCTTTCAGAACAAAACCATTTGTTCAAGCCTTCCCCAACGTGTCCATAGCCAGGAAGCAGCCTGCAAGGACCTATTACATTAAAAGCTGTGAGTGTTTATTAGAAAATTCCATTAGCATCAGCTAACTCCTGATCTCCTGGATTTACACCTCATTTGCAAACATCAGAAAGATTTTTCAGCAGTTTTTCAGTCATTTTGGAGCTTAAGGGAAACATTTCCAGAACTTTTTTTTTTCCCCAGACCTTGCAGCAGCATTCAATATTTATAAGGAATTCCCTGCCTTGGTAGCAACGACTGACAGTTATAAAAAATAACTACTCTATAAAATGCATTAATATTTTAAACCTGCCAAATACTGCTCAACAAAGATATTTCCAGCTTTTGCCTGTCTGGTTGTTATGTAGTTCAAGCAAATAACTGACAAAAAGAAACATATATAGGAGGGAAATGAGAGCATGGATGGGAACTTGCAATAGCTACAATAAAAGGTCTTTCTCTATTTACACAATAAATCAGCAGCACAATGGAGAAAAGAACCAACATTCTGATTTCTGCTGCAGTCAGTTATTCAGGGAACCACGATGTCAGTTATGTGCTCAGATACTGCTGTAGGATTCTGTACTACATGAACAAAACCCTTCTGTTTTTCCAAGTGAAATGAAGAGGTTGTGCAGAATGCAGGCTTTTCCACACACACCCAAACGCAAATAACTCATATTTAAAGATGCAATGGAGAGAAAAGATAAATCTTGATATCACTGCAATGAAGTGCCTTCCTTTATGAACACTCCTGTGTGCCCATGTCCTGATGATGCTGGACATGCTCCAGCTCCGTTTGCAGAGCTGTTCTGTGTCCCTGACTCCTGGCACATTGGCACATTTTGTTCTTGGCATATTTGTATCTATGGAGCCAGCTGACCTTGAAGCTCACAACACACACACAAAAAAAGAATGAAAAAATATTGGCAAGCAGAAAACCGACTGCTCCCCTCCCCATGGTTATGATCAGAGTGCTTTTCCTCTCTTTGGTTTGCACAGAGATGATGCTCAGTAACTCTGAGAATGTTCCTACTGCCTCCAGAGAGGCCTGTTCAGAGCAAAACCAAAGGAAATTAAAGACCTATCAACCAATCCCTTGGTACGGGTTCATAAATATAAAACTGCATGCAGCGGCTGGCTAAAACACTAAGGACAAAATGTGCTGAAGTGCTTTGACTTGAATCCCTCTGTTCCTGTCTCTCCCGTGTTCCCTGCACTGTGGGGAGATGGGGAAAGATGTTCCCTCCTGCTCATTATCACTGCATATTCACATGGAACAGAGGATGATGCATTTGCTGTTTGGACTAACTTGCCACTGAGCACTGCTGCTCTGACAGCAAGGCGTTGCTGCAGTCTCTAAAAATACACTCCTCTTCCTCTACCACTCTCAGGGCAGTTCATTTCAAGACAGCTCCTATCCTCCAGTGCTGCCTGGCTCCTGATGGGATGCACTCAGGTGCAGCTCATCCCAATGATGCTACAGACCGTGGGATCTGAAGTCCCAAGAAAACAGCTGCAGACCTGCCCCTCACACAGCCTGCTGTGCCTGGGACACAAACTGCACAACTTCTGAGCAATCCTGTATTCGAGCATCCTCCTTCCTTAAAGCATTCCCCATCCTCCTGAAGAACCAGCAGGTGAGTTGTGCTGTGCCCTGCTTTACACCTCTAAGATGCACATCAGTGATAAGGGTTTTTTTCTGACAGCCCTGAGAAAGAGACTCAGGGGATGCTCAGAAACAAACCAGGTCCTCCACGGTTTTCAGAGCCAAACTGCTCTGCACATATGCTGACTTCAGTCGCTGTGCTCACTGGAGCACTCCCTTATTCACTGTAACTTGTGCAGCAACAGCTCGCTAAAGTTGTGGCAGATCTGTTGGATTTACCCTGCAGTCACTCAGCCAAGCTTCCGGATGGATTTGCCTGAGGCTTATTCCTTTTCCATGCAATGCACCAACTCTGCATTTCAGATCTGACTAGTGCTAAAATTGTACAAGAGGCTTCATGCAAATGGATGAAGTCTCCTTTTCTGTTCGTGGTGAAATTCATCTGCTGTTAGATACATCTGAGCCTGAAATTCAGGGACTGGTGACATCTCAGGTCATTATAAAGCCATCTCTGAGTGCAGAGCAACCACAGAAATAACTGTGACGACTCCACAAGCCATGCTGTGCTCTGCTCTAAGAGCAGAAGTAAGGAATTATTGACTGGATTTCCCAGAATGTACCAGTGCAAATGAGGCATAACGACAGAACTGTAGACACAGTCAAAAGAAATAGAAAGAAGTTTTCCCAGGAAAAGACGATGCCATACGGACACGGCAAATCCTAAAGCTTTGCTCTGCTGAAGTTTCTTTCAGCTCCCCAGGCTTTTCAATGTCACAACGTTCTCTAGGAAGACGACTGGGCTGTGTCATCTCAGCATTGCCTTGGGCTGTAGTGTTCCCATGCTGGCGATACCTCTGGAACTCACAGGCTCAGTAGTACCCCGTTTGCACAGAATTGATTCATTTGTGCTGACAGCTTGCATACACCTCATCATATGACGACGTTATTGAAGCTGAATTGCCAGAAAGGCTACAGCCATTGCTTCGGGTGATTTATCAGGGACTTACATTGCATTGAGCCCACGCCAAGAAAATTCCCTCACGAACCAAGACCAGATGTCGTTCTCATCTAACTACATTAAATCTGAGACAAAAACCCTAAAGCCAACAGACCTGTCGTACTTCTATCGCTCTCGTACTCACGTAGAACAGCCCTCTGTGCCCCCACACACAGCCCACCCCAACTCGACAAAACTGCTGTTACACAGAACGATCCCACTTGTTTGCTGTGCGAAACGATTCTGCCATATGACAGAAGGTTTCTACCGCTTTCTTAAGAGATTTTCCCATCGTCACCGGAGCCAGCGGCCACCCCGCAGTCCCCGCACAGGCCAGCAGAGGGTGATGGGCGGCCACGTCGTTTCCGTACTCTCCTGACCAATTTTCTGGGTAAAGCCTCACACGCCTCTGAAGCAGTATTTAAGCAGGCATCCTACTTGCGTGATGGCACAGAATTTTAAGTACAAAGCGGAAGATTTGCTGAAATAATGCCTTTCCCCGTAGCTTCATCATGGAAATGATCCACACCAATTTTAACTACGTTGCCCGTATACAAGAGGTCTGTGTATGACTGTACCATCTTACAAAGTACTGAAAGTTCTTATAAGCTATGCTGCAGGACAAGCATATTTCAGCACATCTTGCACAGACCATCCATGCACCCCCAAGGTTTATCTCAGGGCAGGTGATGGAGACCTACAGAAAGCCTTGCTGCAAGAGCTGAAGGTGCCTGGGCACGAGCACCAGGAAGCACCTCCCAGTTCTGCAGAACTACATGTGGGAAAAAAACACACTGCAAGGGGAAAACCTCAGCATGGGGAATTTCAGCTTCCTAACCCAGACCAGCACCAAGGCAGAGGCTCTGAAGCTAGCTGCCTCTTGAAGCAAGCTGTGCATCACCCAGAACAACTCGCACAAAGCCTAACTGGGCGCAGCCCAAGCAGAGCTGTGCTGTCTGCACACCACTGCCTCTCAGCATGCTTTTCCAGCCTGAATTTGAAGCCTTGCATAGATGAAGACACATCACTGAGCATTTTCCATCACTCATGGAAAATGAGCAGGCTGCAGCTGATACCTCAGTCTGCTCTCTATTACCAAAAGTGGTAACTGCTCTCTGCTATCAAGCCTGTTCTTACTGCCCTCCCAAGCAGCTCATTCTGATGGGTTCACTCATCTGTAAAACAGTTGTTCTTTACATGGCTATTTCTCATGTCCTGACCTTCAACAGCAAGGCCCAGGCTTTTTGTGTGATCATTCAGTAAATGTACTTCTGAAAAGAGGCACCTGCTGTTCTTTGCTGGGGAACTTTCATGGGTACAATGCAAGACTGTCAGCCTATTCCAACTGCTTTTGAAAATTAAGACAAATTACCACCCAGTTCTGTCATTGCTATCAGTAATGCAGATTTACCAAAGGAGAGCAGGAGCTGCAGGGGCTGTGAGTTCCATAGCACTGCCTACTGTGTATCTGCACATGCACTCCCCAGTAATGCCTGTAAGAAGGATGTGCTGATCTGTTCACCACCTGTCCTATGCTTATGGTGCCTCTGGGGCTCTATTCCTGCTCTTAGGGAATAACTGAACAATCACTCCACACAACTTGTTCACTTTCTGACTCTGCCTGATGCTGCAGGCTCCATCCAACCCATTAGCTGCAAA